TGCTACATCTAAGCCTCGCTTTGTAAATAACTTTTTAGGATACTGCACCCTTATGTAATGGTTTGCAAGCTTGTCTCGCTAAATTAATAGCAAGTTGTGAATTTGGTTTTCACTAGTTACCTCATTCTTTCTGACTTCTGCCACATCTCATTTATGTAGTAAATCGATATATATATATATATATATATATATATATATATATATATATATATATATATATACATATAATAGGGTTTTAATTCCAAAGAGGATATAAATCCAAAGAGATTCAATGTAAGAACAGAGCAAATAAATAATATTTGTTTATACCGGTTGAATATCCATTGGTATGGAATTTCATTCACGGGACCAGATCCCATGTCGTTTAAATTTAAAATTTAAAATGTTCAAATGGATTTTAATTATCCAGACATGAGATAAAAAAAAAAAAAAGGAAACGATAAAACCTTTTTTTTTCCCATTTTTTTTTTTTTTTCGCTTGTTCTGGATAAATTTAAAATTATTTTTGAATATTAAAATATTTTGTCTGAAGAGATTTTTGACCTTTTGAAATAAATTATTACCAATGGTATTTCAAACATTAAATACATCAAATTTTGATATATATATATATATATATATATATATATATATATATATATATAACTGACGGAATTGAACATCAAATCTCCCAAAATTATACAGATGGACTAAAATTCAAGTGATCAAATGTACAGATACATGCACAAATAAGGAATGAATCAATTAATCAAATCCCATAATATTACATTATATATTTCTTTTGGGTGTTATTTTTAGGCTTGTATTCTCGCATACATTTAACGTAACATATAAGTAACACACACACATATCATGATACCTTATTGTACGATGTCCACTTGCACTTCTTAAATTAAATACAGCAAGAGATGGAGGTTGCCAACTGAACGAAAGAGTCGTTGGCCCATCATTTTCAGTGAAATAATCTGACAAAGCATAAAGTTATTGCACATCTTGCGGATCATTTTACAGGTATCATTTGGGAGTGCATTATCTTGCTAAATCAGCACATAGTCTTTCTGTTGTAGCCATATAAACAGAACGTTGTATAATGTTTTGAACGTACACGGTGCTTATCAACTTTACCTCTACAAAACCCAAATAAAAATGTGAGAGTTCCTCTATCACCCTGATCCTAGCTTCTGCGCATGTTTCAAAAGCGGAATAAATTCAGGGAGATGTCCCGTACAAGAAAACAATCGTCTCTTGCATGAAACATATATATTCTTTTCTCTAACCACTATAATGACTGCGGCTTACGACAATATCACGTTGAAAAAACGGGTTCTCTTGACCAGTTGCTATAAGATTGGATGTGCGGTCGGTGTAATAGATAACGGTTCAGTATGTGCCTCCTCATTAAATGTTCTGGAGGTAAACGATTTTTGCGTTTTGGCGTTATCTGCCTGATAGTCAAGGATCCGAACCTTCGAGTAACTTCTTAAGAAGCTATATTATCAAAAGGTGTATAATATCGGGGCTATTGTACGGCTATTTTGTGAATGTTTTCTGGACAGTGCAGTGTCCGGTGGGGCCTCTCTATGACATGATGATGGTTACTGTTACGGCAGTATCTCTGGGCGAGTTAACCCAGGTTATTTATGCGCGCATCTTCAATGGGTGTCTGTTTTCATTGACTACTAGTCATCCAGCAAACCAACTGAAACAAACATGAAAGCAATCAGATTGAAACGAAAAGAACTAGCAAACCCTACCTAAAAATGTAAACCCCTGTTATATCATCTGGCCCCTATGGTAGTCTCTGTTGAGGCCTGTTGATGACATGATGATTGGTACTGTTAGCAATCAAATCGAAAACAAACAAAACTAGCAAATCTTATAAAAAGTCGACCTCCAGTTATGCTATCTCTTACAATGTAAGGGGTCTGCGTTCGAACGTTCTAAAAGGGGAACTATATCTTCTTCTTCAATCTCAACCTGATCACCTGTTCCTGTCTGAAACCGGTATCAATGCCTCAATCCCATTACAGGAGCACATAATCCCGGGTTACTCAGCAATTATAACAAAATACGACCACCTAAATCGCCACGGTCATGGGCTCTGTGCCTACATCAAGAACAGGTTTCCCTGTAGCAGAGACAGATAAAACGAGGACCCTGATTACCTGTATATGTGTTTCCGTGTGGCACTTATCCATGGTACCATATTTCGTATTTGTCCTGTATCGTACTCCAGATGAAATTTCGGTAATATTTGATCGAGAGGATTCACAATATCCTCACAGAATTTCACATATGCGGTGACTTCAATGTTCACCACAAACAGTAGTTAGTCCACTCTAACAAAACTGCTGAGAGAAGCAGATATTGCAGAGACTTCTCCATCGCATATGAACTAACCCAGATCATTGAAGGACCAAACTGAGTCCCGGATGCGACAGAAGGCGAACCTTCTCGACCTTTTTGTAACATCCTGCCCTGACAAATTCAGGCCAAAATTTTAGCCCTTATTGGCACATCAGATCATTCCCTAGTCAGTGTCCAGATTGACTCCAAACCAATGATATATCCCGGTTTATGTTTTCATATAATGGTTTTTCACTATGCGAAGGCAGACTGGGATGAAGGCTCCTCTCCCAACATTCAAACATTCTGCCACCAAAACTGCTACCCTAATCTCCGAATGGGTCCTTTCTGGAATGGAGTGTTTTATACCCGCAAAAAATTCCGGCAAAAATCACACAGTCATCCCTGGCTCAAACCTGAATGTGCTGCAGCCATAGCTCATCGGAACCACTACTTTAAAATCTATCGCAAGGAACAGTGTAGTTTGGCCCTTACTTCTTTCAGAACCGCCCGCGATCGCTATAAGAGATTTCTGGAAGACGCCCGATCTGTCCAGGCGAAGGTAGAAAATAAACAAATTGGATCCAGCGAATTTCTGTAAGATAACCAACCAAATCATGAACAGAGTCAAAGCGGCTGTGCCCACTATTATAAATGGCTCCGAGGTCATATTCTCCTCGACAGATTAGACAAAGCTCTTCACCTCGATCTTTACCGCAAACTCAACGTTAGAGGCCATATCCTTATCAACTTCCCACGTTGATAATGTCCATCCTCTCCCCAACTTCCCACTGAGAACACTCCCACAAATACTTATTTCAGCAAGAAAAGTCTCCACTTATCAAAAGCCTCGGCCACAAAAAAAGCCACTGGCCCAAACAAAAAAAAATCAGTGATCGCCCTTAAGAATATCAACCCATAATTAGCCACGATTCTAGTAGTTATTTAACCGCTACTTAAAACAGAAAACATTCCCAAGCATGTGGAAGTTGGCAAGCGTTTGTCCAGTCTTCAAGAACGCGGGAAACCGATAGCCTCCCAGCATAGACTCATTAGTTTTTTCACTATCATCTTTAAGCATTTTGAGGCCTTAATCAACAAGAAGGTCGTTATTTAACACAGAATTAGTGAGGCCTTTGATGGTACACATACTGCAAGGACCATAGCATTAGATATCTTGAAGGCCTTCGACAAGTTATGGTACAAAGTTTTCCTATACAAGCTCTCCAGCTATGGAATCACTGGAAGGGTTTTCTCTATTATAAAATCATTCCTAACATGTAGATTCCTGAAGGTAAATATTAACGGCTGTTCCCCTGAGGCTCTGGCAGTCAACGCAGACGTCCCCCAGGGGTTACTTCTCGGAACAATCCTCTTTCTGATTTACATAAATGATCTAAGCTATACTCCGATCGTTTGTAAACGTCTATGCCTATGATACGACGATGTAAGGCCACATCTCTAAAAGCCTTGACGATCAGAAATTGACAGCTAAGCTCTCTTCCGATCTAGACTTAACTTCCTGGGGGGAAAAATTGATGGAACACTCTCTGTAGAGGATGTTTCCCTTATCACTACAATCTTAGCCTGTTCAAGTCTAGAGTCAACCCTTATCTCCCCATTCTGTTCATATAAACTATCCTTTATAGTAAACCTCTAGCTCGATTGCCCTCCGGGCTTTGTACAGAAAGAAATATAAAGGGGAGACAAGCCGCCCCCTTAAGGTAAGGCTTCGAGAACACCAGAAAGCTGTAACACGAGGGGAAGTGGAAAAATCAGGCGTGGCTGACCACATATGGAGAGAGAAGAGAGATTACCGCCCTCTGTGGGATCAGGTTGAGATCATAGACAAGGAACACCATTGGAAAATTCGTGAACTTAAGGAATCGGCACATATGCTAGGCCACTAAAATCTCCTGAGCCGACCAAGCATAGAAATAAATACAATATGGGAACCAGTAATAAGGAGTGCCAGCGAAAAGCGATAATAACAACAAAAGTTGCAATATGAGCTCTGGTAAAAACATGTAATGATAACAGCAAAAATTACAATATGAGTACTGGTTAAAATGTTTGCTGAGACATTGTGTTTATAACACTCAGAAATTCATACACAGATGCCCTCAAGGACACATGGCACAGTGGATAAAGACGTTGGTTAGTGACAGGACCTAAAAAATGTGAGTTCAATACCCGGTTAAGGCAGTGGAGAACTTTCAAAGGGGGAATTAACAGGCGTTAACTGACATCCATTAAACGTGGAATTAGAACAGTCTACACCAGTGAGGGAAATAAAAGATTCAGTTCGACATTCCAACCACCCGAACAATGCCGGAGCGTACAACGGCCAAAACGTTGTAATAAATATGGCGACAAAGATGAGGACAATATTCCGAATAATTAACATTGATTTTTCGCAGACCATCAACCCTTTGCATGTCATTTAAAGTCAGAAAATATTTTTAGATTGTAAGAATTTTTTGAGATAATGATTTTTACTTTAAGAAATTTTACTAATTAACCTATAGCTTGGGGAGAAGAGGTGAATTTATACAAGCGTATTTGCGCGTAAGTGAATATACTGAACCTGACTGGAAGTGGAACTCGACTCTGTCATTTCCAACGCCGAGCATTATTTCATCAGGGCATCCAGGTTTGCAGCACCTGGTATTCCCAAGCGGTCACCCATCTAGGAACTGACCAGGCTCGCCGTTGCTTAACTACGGTGAAGCGTACGAGAACCGGTGTTTCAGCGTGATATGCCTAATATTTAACAAGAAAATTAAGACCTAAATGATATATATCTGTCTATTTTTCTGAGATGAGGTATTGTAATTATTTACATTGTTCGGACTGAGAATATCGCAATAAAGATGAGGACAACAGTCCAAACAATGTAAATAAATTATATATGTATAATATATCAATGGAGATATTTTAAAGTCCCATGGTACTAATACTCTGCCAATGCCCGCCAGTATTAATGGAGTGTTAATGACGAATTTAGTATTAGTTAATGGTTGAAATGAGTTTCATGTATCTATATAATTCTTTTGAAGTATTTGTCTCTTTCAAAAAGCAATAGAATCAAATCAACTCACAATACTGTTCAACCAGCATAACGCTGTTGTAGATCTTGTGTCATTTTTTTATACAACCCAGTCGTAAGTTCGAACCACAAAAGAATTTGCATTTTAATTTAATCTACTTTCTCTTTCGTTTTTCTTTTTTTTGTTTTGTTTATTCTTCCATCGTTTTCTTACCCTCTCTATCTACTTATCTATCTCTATCCTCCTCCTCTACAAGTACATGTGAATGTATATGTCGATTACCTTGTCTTTTTTTTAAATTTTTTTAATTCCTGATTATCGGCGGTCATCTATAAATTACCGTTTTTCAATCAACATGATTATATACATCACACACTGATCTATTGGGAAAAATTTTGCTTATTACTTAATCTGTTCAATCTGATATTTGTATATTGAATTGTTTTACTACTGATCAGTCAGTGTTCTACTTTCGCTTTGACATCGATCTGTTTATCATTCAATCTCGCTCTCGATAAAACATTGCAGTTTCCTCACCAATATGCTGTAGCATTTTTCAAATCATAACTGATATTTATTTTTCTTCAGTTTGTAAATAGAAAAGAAGTAGAAACAAATATACTGATCAGGACAAACCATTCATCGCAACGCGTGTAACACAGGCGATTCCATATTTTATATGTAGGCTACAAAATACAATTATTAGTCAGTTTGTCTACCTCATGTTATAAATTATCCTAGTGTCGTTGAGTGAATTTACGAAATTTTTCCTCCTCTTATACAAAACCAAAATGCTCTCACAATACTTAGGGTTTCCAGTGATTACCCATCTAAGTACTGGACAGGTTCGATGCTTCTTAACTTCAGGCCAGAAATAATGTCATTTGACCATAAACCGTAAATGTATAAGACTGTATCAAAATCATGTTCGCTTTCAAAGTTTTTTGACGTTTATGTAACGTTCTTTGTGTATCATTTTCGATTATTCTAGCTCTTGTGAGAGTTTTAGAGTTCTGCTGGTGGGCGAATCCTCTCCTAACATAATCGACAACCGATGGCCGCCTACTTCTGAGTTTTATTTCAAGAACAAGTCACTTCTCATAAAAAAAAAAAAAAACTCAAACCAATGTTGCGAAGTATGAATTCTACGAGCAGCCTCATCTGATTTGGGGACCAGTTTAAAAGAACATTTTAAAATTGCCATTACTTATATTCTCTATCAAACATCTGAAACAAAAGATTCACTGCTTTTAGCAAAAGGTTTTACCATATCGTGCACATTTGTTTGTTAAGCATGTGTCTTATACCCTGATCAGACTGGGTGTGAAGATGAGTATACTAGGCTTCATATATTTGTTTTAAAGCATCCCATTGTGTGCTGTTCTCTCACTCAGTAATAATAATATAATGGAGCACGTCATGCTACTTCCACGGAATCGATTCAGACTCATTTCCTCGGCATATAAGTAGAAAGTTCCACCCAGACCGCTTTTTGGCAAAAACTCTTACTTTGTGGAACATGCTCCTACGCTTAACCTCTGCAAGTCAAGTGTCAATTGTTATCGATCTTCCTTATACTAATAAACTTCCCTTACTACCACCTCCTTCTCAAATCATTTCACATATCAATCAAATAACTATTTTAATAGTAAGATTCTAAACAACTACTATGGATCTCAAGTCTTGTATTTCTTGCATATATATATATATATATATATATATATATTATATATATATATATATATTCAAACAGGTTATATTAAATAATTAAATATTCTGTCTCCTATTTTCGATAAAGATATTTCATATTCAATATATTTTTAGAGACAGGTTTTTTCCACTAAAAATTAATTTAAAAAATTTGTATTTATTCCGACATTCTGTCCTCATCAAAATTTCGAAATTAAGTATCCCAATTTTTACAGATTTTTATTATTTAATAAGTTTCATTGTGGTTGGCAATTTCTAATTTTAAAATATAAAATATAAAATTTCATTTTATATTCATTTATTTTAAAATGATAGATTGTCTTTTTAACATTTTTATTCCGACATTTAAAATGTTTGATTAATATTCCTAATTTTTAAAACGATTTGGTTTCAATTTTTTTTTTAAAAATAGCTTTGAAAAATTTTAGTTTGTGTTTATTCTTTGTATGGAGTATTTTCCAATCAATTTTTTGTGGACTGCAATGTTCAAATATGTTGTTGTAAGTGTTATAAATATTCGAATATTATTCAGATGAAATTTTACAGATTTTTAAAAAGTTGTTGTCGTTAGTTCCAAGTAATTATTAAATATAATCGTTGGATTCAATCAGAATTCTTTTAAATTTATAATTATGATAAATGGTTTTTTGCAACACGTTAGTGATGGGGAAGAGTCCGTTTTTATTTCCCGATAAAATATTTAGTGTTGTATATATATTTTATTTTTTTTTTACTCGGGTCTGTGGTATAGTATTTTTTTGTTAACTTTTTTAGGATATTATTCGCCTAGTTTATAATTATCATGTATCTGGTTACAATTAAAAAAATATGTTTTTAGGTTAGTTGGAATTTCCATTAAAAACCAAATAAAATTTTTTCTTTGCTCATCAACGATGTATTGGGGAAGTTATTTTTGATGAACATTTGTTTTATATATTTTTAAGTTCGCTGTAAAAATCTATCTGAAAGCGTTTTTGCACACATTAGGAAGAAAATTTTATAGTAATTTGACATTTGCTCTAAGTGTTGAATGTTCACTTTTATATTTACACTTATCTTGATATTGACCACTTATATCCTGTGAGACATTTAAGGAATATTTCTTCATATATTTATATATATATATATATATATATATATAATAAATATATCAAGAAATAAATTTTCGTTCTTTTATTCATTTGTCTCTTCTACAGATGCTCCATCTGAGAATATATATATATATATATATATATATATATATATATATATATATATATATATTTTGTATATTTAGGCAGCAATCCTTCCTTTATGCAGTATGGTTTAAAACAACAGACAAGGTACTACAGTTGAGTTTTTATTTAATTTTTCTTGTTTGGAACAAGAATTTTCATTTAGGTCAATGTTCTGTAGTTTGAGCGCTTTCATAAATAGTCTGTGCGTTATAAATTTATATAGAATATTTTTATTTATATAACCTTTCTTTTTTTAAATTAATATAAAAGAGTTGGCTTTTTTTTTTTTTTTATTATTAGGGCTTCCATTATTTGAATCTTTTTTTTTACATCTTTTTTCCAAATTATCATGTTTTATCCAGACGTCTTCAATATATTACACCTATCTGATCACAGTTCCATCAGAACACATTTAAACACACACTCAGATTTACCCGACACTATTAGGAACATACTAGTAGAAAACACAAATATATTAACTGCATCCACTTGCAAAAAAAGACTAAAAATAATGGAAGCTCTAATAATAAAAAAAAAAGCCAACTCTTAACAATATTAACTATGAACAAAGCCACAATGTGCTAACCGTATTCGGAAACTAAAAACATCATTAACACACACTGAACATACATGAACACACACACTCTACTAAGCTGATAATTGAATCATCCTTGATAATGGCTAAAGATATAGCCGAAAGCGCTCGGAAATACAGAACATTTGGACAGTTCTTACACACTCTTTGTCCAGAAAAAGAAAGCTCTTGTCAGAACACAAGAAAAATTAAATAAAAAGCTCAACCGTAGTACCTTGTCTGTCGTTTTAATGAAACATGCATATATATATATATATATATATATATATATATATATATATATATATATATATATATTATATAAAATGAAACCATTTCTGGTGCACTCTAGTAGGTTCATACTAACGTTTTGTCCTTGCAAACCCTTTGATGTCCCCCAATGACCATTGTCTCCATTTATTTCTGTCAGCTTTGGAAGTCCATAAATAAGTGAAAGAGGGACGTCAGACTGTGGCAACTCTGTGCAATGCACACATAAATCAACAGAAACTCCCCTTTCGACGCAGTCACTTTTCGTTTTCTCGTGCAGCGGAAAACGTGTCAGTATCGTATGACGTTGATAGTGAGTTCGCTTCACACCCAGTGCTTCCGAAACGCCCTGTTGTATCAGACAGAAACTCCGTCCGGTGCATCAAAGCCACGGCTTATTTTCTAATTTAAACCTCTTTCAAATGTATGGACCGCGTAAATGTTTTTATAAATGAACCTTAGTCTCAGATTTCTTCCATAAAAAAAAGGATCCTGCAACCTGATACGCAGTTCTTAGTTTATGATCGATCTGGTTACATCTAAGCTCTGATATTATTTGGATGTTGCTTGAAAAGGAAATATATTGGATCAGTTACCGTTAATGAGTAAGATGTTCGGTGACTGATTCAAATGGAAAACTTATTGGAGAACGCTAGCAAGCATTAAATCTAATAAATGATGATTGCCTTAAACACAGACTTAAAAAGATTTTTCCTATGCTTGATTGCAAGCAGAGTAATACTCAGCCTATTTATCAAATATCTCTGATAATAACAGTGAACTGTTATTTAAAGTTGACAGCCGTTTTCCATTAGCTTACCTGGGTTGTATTGTAGTTATGTAAGAGTATTTCGCCCGAGAACTCTCCCGCCCACAGTTCAGTCATTGTTGCATGCCAGCGACAAGATATTTGGTAATGGGACAGAGTCCAAAAGGAAGT